TTTTTTTTTTTTCACATTTCTGACACAACATGGAGGCATCACTATTCTCAAAATGTTGTGCTCATTCCGACTCTGTAACCCAAAGTGTAAGAAATATGGCTTTAGTTTCACATATAGTACATAGTGTTTATGGATATATAGTTATTTTTTGCTGCTTATTTTTTCCTAGATCCTCCTGAGTCAGTGGTTATAATTCCTGACAGTCCAAAAAATGCTAAAGTATTCTGGTGTATAGTGGATAGTAACCCAGAACCAACCAGCTACACCTGGACAAGGTAATAAAAATTATTTTTTTGGGCTGTGTATAATGGCCTGTGGTTAATGGAAGAGTTGAACAGTTTTAAATAAACTGAAAATCAGACAGAAAATGATCATCAGGTAATACATTATTGAAGTCATGCTTTATGAAAAAGAGTCACTAAATATATCTGTCTCAGTGGCAGTTGTTATTCTATAAGCCAGTGGTTCTCAAACCTGTCCTGGAGTACCCCCAGCCCTGCACATTTTGTATGCCTCCCTCATCTATCACACCTGATTCAACTCATCAGCTCATTAGTGGAGACTGCAAGACCTGTGTCAGATATAGGGAGACATACAAAATGTGCAGTGCTGGGGGTACTTCATGGAGAGGTTTGAGAACCAGGTTTGAGTTACTTTTGCATATTTTGGCTTAACTTTTGCATATTGGGCCAAGCTCACAGGTTCCAAGACTTTACTGCCATATTGGGACATATTCCCATAGTAAACAGCTTAGGGAGCAAGAACATAGGACAGGACTTGATTTTATCCATCGGTTGTTGATTGCATTTTGAAGAGTGAGCACTGCACATCGGAATGGAGGCAGATTAACTGCAACATTGGTGTACATACGTCATAGACGTCAAGTGAGTCGTATCACAGGGAGAGCAAGTTATGGCATTTTGATTAAAGATTACAAGGTCAAAAATTAAATGCATGGCTGAATCATTCACAATAAGGACAGTAATGTGCATTAAGAAAACAAATAAGGTCAGTTTTGATTTCATGTCTACTTTCTGTATGTTGTTGTGTATGCCAAGTGCAAAGGTTGTAGGCTGAGATGCTTGAAGGTTTTAGGTTTCAGAGAGAGACAGATGCAAGGCTGTTCTGATAAGTCGCTGAGGTGTTGGCCTGTGGTTGCTAGTTGAATTTTTTTGATGTTATCCAACTTTGTTTTAGTTTTTTACAGATAGTTTACTACTGACCATCAATTGTACTGTTATGTACTAGCAGAACATGCTCATTGATCTTTCATATCTCTCTATTAACAGAGAGAGTACTCCCTATTATGAAGGCAACAAGCTTCCTGTGCCAAAACTGTCCCCCGACTTTAATGGCTTGTACATTTGTAATGCTTCAAACAAATATGGAAGTTCATTAGGTTCCCTGTATGTGAATGTTCATACTGGTGAGTCTATTTTTGTTTTTATAGTTAATGGTACATGTCGTTTGATGTTCTTGAAACTCTTATGCTATGAAAAAGGTTGTGTGTGCTGCTGCTCTGAACAGAACTGAATTGAGAATGCTGTTTAAAGTCCAGCTGAATTGCTGAATTTCAGTTGTGTTAACAAACAGAACATTTACATTTACGTGTTTGACAGTATATAACTATGCATGCAACACTTAGATAAAACTGGCAGTAAAATGCATGCAAAAAAAAAAAAGATTAAAATTCTACATTAAGTAGATATTAAAAACTGTGAAACTATGATTGTTTTAACCAGATATCACTGTATCATAATAATTTCAATCCCGGATGTGGTAATCTAGGACAGTGGTTTTCAAACCCTGGGTCACGACCCACCCCACTGGTCGCCAGGATGATTTAAGGAAAATGTATATATGTATGTAACAAAGTACAAGACTCAGGGAAGAAGGACGCTTAAAATGTTTCTGATTACATGTTTACATATGTACTGATTACATAACATGTTTTTACAGCATTGAACATTGTAGCCAATCACAGACGTATCTGTTGATTTTTTTCCAGAGTTCCTCTGTGGGACTCGAGACTGGTGTGATGCATGTTGTCACTCCATATATACTGTATATATGGCTCGCGATAATTTAAAAAGAAAAAATACGGTCGCGCTTAAAGTTGGAAAACCACTGATCTTGGATAAATTTAATCTGTGACAAACCATGACTATCTAAACAGTTATAGCATTTGTCAGCCTTTTCAGAATAACAGTAACATTGTAGAAGTGTGGACTTGACACTTTTACATCTCTCCATCCCTCTTTCCTAGAATCCAGCACCGTCTGTTGGGGTCTGTTTGGTTTTGTCATCTGCTGTGCTGTTCTTGCTGTTGTTGTTGGTGTGATATTCAGATTCAAGCGGTGAGTTTGAACACTTTATTTGTCTTAGTGTCACTTGATAGTTGGAGCTTTTGTATCTCAAGTTTTAGTTTGTTTTGGTTATATTTTAATATTGCCCTACAATAATAAATTGTTCAAATTGAACATTTTCCAGTGATGAGCTGTTTGTTTGACACAATTATAGTAGATTTTTTTTTATGTGCAGTTATGAGGAGTGGTATTTTAAACCACTGAGAGAGTCATCACAGACTGGACTGTGTGATGCTGCAGAAATAGAAACCAAGCAATCAACAATGTCTTGGCAAAAATGTAAACTTATAAATGCATCAGTGTTAATTTAGTTTTAATTAGTTTGTTTTAATTTAATGGCAATGTAATATAACACAAATTATAGTGTTATAAATGTACATTAATTTTTAAATGAAAACAAAACGTTGCTAAATTCACAATTTTATATTTGTGGAAATGTGTAACATGTAAGGAGGGAGTGAAATTACAGTATTGACTGTTATAAAAAAATGCTTGTTCAGTTCAGTACCTTCGTTATCATTGTGTCATAAACAGAAGGAAAACAATAAATAAACACCAGTTCTGCATATTGGTTATTGGTCACATAAACATGCAGATAATCGGTATCGGTGTCAGTTCTAAAAAAAAAAATCAATATTGGTCGATCTCTACACTGTAAAAAAAATCCCGTAAAATATACGGTAAAAAACCGGCAGCTGTGGTTGCCGGAATTTTACCGTAAAAAATACGGTAGCAACGTTTTAGGTTTTACGGTTTTAGCTTAAATTTACAGTTAAATACCGTAATTTCATTAACTGATATAATATTAATATACCAACCTATTGAAGTACTGAAATCTGTTTTGTACCTTTGTAATACACTGATAACCACCAAAAGCAGGTGGTGATGAGAAAGTCACATGATGAACCAAAGCCCATCACAAGCAGCTTTTAAATAATAACATATATAGAAGGTGCACAGTGTCATTCACACAAACACTAAACACCATCATGGTAACACACATGAAACTGAAATAATACAATAAACATTCATTTAACAACATTAATGTGCAACACACAACCCTAATATACAAAACGGATAAGAAAAAACTAAGAAGAAACATAGTTATTTCAACAAAAAAACATCAAATTTGAAATGTAACGCAGGGAATTCTGGGAATGTCAATTTACAGTTATGCTTTTTCACTTCCAAAAACGGTATACTACCGTAAAATTAATGTCCAATACATGTAATGTCCAATACAGTTTTTCACCGTATATAGTAGGGGAATTTACCGTTAACCATTTAACAGGATTTTACTGTAGCATTTTTACAGTCTTTTACCGTTAAATTCACGGTCATTTTTTACAGTGTAGTCCATAATTAGTAGTAATTAGACCTGAAGTATTTGTGTCAGACAAAGAGACTAAATGTGCAGTGTTGGGGGGGGCTCCAGGAACAAGTTTAAGGACCACTGAGCTGGGTTATAAATGTTACAGCAGACTGTACCAACATGTGGTCAATCTGGTCCTGAGCCTCCTCCCCAGTTCCCACCCATTCCCCTCCCCATGTTGTTTCTACGGTGCGAGGACGCACCTACCGGGAGGGGGGAGTAATGTCACGCCCCTGGACTGTTGCATTCTGTGTTTGTCCGAGATTATACGTCTACCCTGGTGTTTCCTGTGATCCTGTCTGCGCCGTGTATTTCCGTGGATGTTTGGATTAAAAACCTGTTGTTTTCGTGTACTCCTGGTCTCCTTGTTCCTCGCTCCTCGCCTTAGGCTAAGTGTGACAACATGTTAAATTGATCTTAATTTTAGGGAATGGATTCCAGTACCACAGCGTTCCAATGATGAGGGAGCACAGGTGGGTTTTTGTTGTTGTTGTGATAGAAACACCGTTTAAAAATTGAGTCGTTATTATATTTTTTCATGTTTTTGAAAGAAGTGTTTTGTTCACTGATATGCTCATCGTGGCTAAGTACGTTTGATGAAAAATAAAGTAAAAACAATAATATTGTGAAATATTAATACAATTTTAAAATAACTGTTTTCTGTTTGAGTGTGTTTTAAAATATAATTTATTCATGTGATATCAAAGCTGAATTTGTAACATTATAAATGTTGTCGCTTTTGATCAATTTAATGCATCATTGCTGAATATTAATTTCTTTCCAAAATAAAAATCTCATTGACAAATTCTAGTGTAAATTTTTTAGATTGTATTCACGATTATAATTTGCCTAAACTTTCCCACAGGGCAGTGTAAGACGAGCAAGACAGGAGGATGATCAGGATGAAAGAGGTAATCCGGTCTCTCCTGTGCAGTTACAACCACTTTTGATTTATGTAGACATGAATCAGAATGAGTTGAGTCTTAATAAGGCCCATGCTCTGAACATTAACTGATGTGGCTCAGTTCAAATCTTGTTCATCTGACATCTTTTAAATTTACAAATTAAAATTGCATCTATGTGATTTCACAGAAATGGGGAGCATTTCTGATCAGTGACGGCTGTTTTTGGACCAGCGCTCTTTCTTGAACTAGATGTCCCAAATGACGAGACGTGCCTAGAGAGGAGAATAATACTAACTGGAACAAACTGAAAGTTAAGGACCGGTAAGAGGGGATTCGAGTGAGAGCGTTAAATTGAAAGTAGAACAGATATGCTGGAAAGTACCTTTTGAAGGGAGCGTGATATTATACACAAGCCTGCAAAAGTCCCTTCTTAAATAATAATAATAATAATAATAATAAAAAATTAAGCATTATGTACAGCTTCCCTTCTCCTGATGCAAGAGGCAGAGCAGGATATCCTATATCCACAGATGTCTGTTAAACCGCAAAGAATAGGGTGAGGTGTAGTTTAGGGATGTGTTAACGGTTACCACAGACCGATGTTGGCTGTGGGTTAACTGTTCTTTTTCTTCCTTTTGTTGTCATCTCTGAATTTAGTTTACTTCTCTTTTATTTTTTTCCTTTCAGTCTGAGTTTTTTTTTTTTTCCTCTCATTCTATGTGTCTGGACCTCAAAACCCATTTAATTTAGGCTTTTTTTTTGTTTCTAGGACAATAGAGACAGGCAAGAAAGTAGGTATGAAAGAGACGGCGAGTGGGAGCCAGACAGATCCAATGTGTCCACAACCGTTTGATCATAGAAATATTTGGCAGAAATGCTAACATGTTCCTTAAATATCAGTCAGACAAATCAACAAACATGGCAATCAGTCACATTTCTTATTTATTTATTTGCTGGTTGCCTGATGTTTTTCTCTCATCCCTATCAACTTGCTGCTCAGTGTCTTGTCTTTGGCTATTGGTAAGCTTTGGCCATTTGATGACATGCATAGAACCAAGCCTTAGCCTAGCTATGTATACCTGGCTGATCTACAGTACCCTTAGGTTTATTTTAATTAATGCATGCCTATACAAACTATGTGAGCCTGAACTGAGGCGGTAGTTAAGCTCTGGGATTCCCTGGTCCAGATGCACATTTTGAGTCAGGATAGTAGTTATACCTCACTCAAGCTCAACCAGGCATACATAGCTAATCATGCGCTTAACATGGCTCATCAAAACAGCAGCAGTACACAAGTCTTGGCAACATTTTTGGGACTTTGCTTGTGTCTTGTGTTTGTGCAGTTTTTACTTGCATGTCACGGCATGTCTTTATAATGTACATAAATACAGAATATCTTGGCAATTTTGCAGTTTTTCTATAGCTTATCTATAATGTTTGGTTCACAATCATTTATATTTATAATTACCATGAAATATTCAAACAAAATGTATTTGAACATTGGCTCAAACTTGAAAATGAATCGTTTTAATTTACAAGATGACTAAAGTGGATAAGAACATTTCATGTGTCAACTATAAACAGATGATGCTAGAGCTTTTCATGAGCTAGTATTTTCAGCATACTTTAAGACAAAACTAAGTTCAGTGGTCTCACATGTTATATTTTCTTTCTATGTTGGCTTTAAAGGCTAAGCACATAGAATTTGAATTTTGTATTTTCGTGTGAAGTGTGCTGTAGGGTGGAACATTAGGTTCAGGGGATTGAATTCATTGCAATATCTCCAGTGTCTTATTGTGATCTCTTATCCAAAACAAAACCCGCCCTGGAGCAGATGAGCTGTGTAGTCACTATGATGATGGACAGTGCTAAAAAAACAACAATCCTCCATGGACTGAAAAAATGCAAGGTCACTCCATGAGTTTGCTCATTTTAACTGGGTAGCTACTCAAACTTGCTTTGTGATGCAGGCCTCTTGTGTCAAGGTGATATTATATGAAGTGGATAACATTTCATATGATGTACATGAAGTCTGAAAATGCAAATACTATGTAAAAACTTGGTGCTATAAAAACCTTTATTTACAGTGTTGTGAAGGACATATTAACATTTTAGGACAAAGATATATATTGGCCTATAATTTATCAAATATCATGGCGAATGTACATTTTGTAATCATTTCTACAGCCTATTAAAAAAAAAAACTTGTGTGGAAAAAGTTAGTACACCCCTACATTTATCACTACTTCAAGTGCAGAACATTAAAGAGGAAAACATAACTTATATAAACACCAGCAAACTGGTCATGTTTTCTTATAAGTTGTGCCATTTATGCCAAGATTAAAAGAGCTGCTGTAGTTTTTTCATAAGATAAACTGCAAACCTTTTCAAACCAGTGGCAATCTGTCCAGGTCAGCCGTCTCACAAAATTTGAGTAAAATGCTTCAGAATGCCTCAGAGCACCCCAGGGATCAAGGGATCAAGTCTGGAAAGGGATGGCAGAAGATCTACTTGGAATGTTAAAGGGGTCATATGATGCGATTTCAATTTTTCCTTTCTCTTTGGAGTGTTACACCTGAAGTTTGTCATTCAACAGATATATGAAGAACAGTTGTTTGGCCACAGTTCCAAACATGTTAGAAGCAAAGAACCTCATAGCAACTGTGAATCATGATGGTTGGATGTTGTAGTTTTGGGGTGTCTTTCTGGTTCAGAGCCCAACTAACTTCCATCATGATGTCAACAATTACACCAAAGAGGACAACATGATGCCTTCTGTGCAACAGATGAAGCTGAACTAGAAAAGCAAATCCAAAAATGATTGACTCGGACAAAAGACAAGGAGTTTAGAACAACCAAGTCAAAGGTCAGATTTCAATGGACATAGTCAGGAACATGAATGGGCTCATACATGCAGGAAACCCATCTAATATCACAAGTGAAGGAATTCTGCATGAAGGAATAAGCTAAAAGACAAACATAATGATACTGGCTGCTAAACGTATGGATGTACTTATTTTTTTTCCACACAATAGTGTTGAATTTCTGTAGCTATTTGTTTATTAAAATATTTCATTGAGAAATATTTGTTTTTTGTTATGTCACCATTAATACTATTCAAATTGAAGTGTCCGTGTCCACACATGCTGACAAAGGGACACATTTCAAGAGGCTTACTTATTCAAATTTGTGTTAGTGTGATAAGCTTTTTTTATATGGGACGCCAAGCAAAGGCATCTGACTACTGCAAGCAAAAGCAATCCAATGTGCTTCACAAGGCAGCAACTGCTTATCAACAGGCATTTTAAGATAATTTAGAAGCACAAGCAGAGAGAAAAACTCCTTCATACCAGTAAAACAATGTGTCCGCACATCAAGGTAATTTTTAAAGGAATACCAGCAACACTTGTGGTCAAAATAATCAGAAAGTGGAACTAAAAAGAATAATAGTTTAATTTGCCAACATGTTTTGGTACACAGGCCTTCATCAGGGCTAAAAGATTGCATACAATACAAAAAACTCTTGCTTACTCGAGGTATGTCAGTTCCAAAACCGCGATGTTCACGGTGAACAAACTAGACTTTAGGTGCATCCCAGTTCATGTACTTATGCACTATTCTATGCCATTTTGTAGTATAAATAGTGCAAGTAGTGCATTCACACTGAAAATTCCAAAAAGAAAAAGTGCATTTTAAATACCAGGATGATGCACGTAATTACCTGAAAAAACAAAGCGTGGAATGTTGGACACTTCATGCACTCAACTGTTGCAGCTTTAATTATGTAGCAGAGGGGGAGGGGATATCAGACTCCAATGATGAATGACAAAATAACCTTATATAATTCATACACTACACAGTTAAGTGCATAAGTACATAGTGTATAGTGCATCATTTGGGACACAACTATTCTCAACAGAGTGCTGAATCCACAAGTCATCATAGAAATGGATGCTAAGAAGTGTGCCATACTTCTATTTTGTTCTTTTTTTTTTGTTTAATGTCAAATTTCGTTCTTAATGCATATCACCACTTAATGGGTGGTTGTGCAATCATTTTTTTTATCTTACAGTTTAATCAGTTTTTATTACTGTGAACAAGAATTATGTTGTTTGATGCATAAATTAATAAGATAATATGGCTTTTTATTGTTTAGCTATTTTACTTGCACATTTGTTACAATATATTTCTATAACAAAAATACAAATGTGATATATTTTACGTTGCAAAAAGAGAAAAAAAAAATGTTTGAATGGAAATCCATGTGTGAGATAAGGATAAAATTAATAAATCAGTAAAATAAAAATTGCTTTATTTTATTATAGTGATTTATTTTAGAAATATATAGGAAATAACCTGCTTTCTGGAACACCCCCCAAACCCCCCTGCATTAAACAATGTAGCATTAAAGTATCTTTGGATAAAGGCATTTACCAGCTGAAGAAATGTTAATGTAGAAGTGCACTGTACTTGCTGATTTTTTTATGAGTACTCAAGTTGATGAGGTTTGACAGGTTGTTTTTTTTTTGAGCATTTTTTTGAGCACTTCCTTCCGTTTGTTCCTTTCTGTTAACAAATATGTTTGACTTATTTTTTGAAGTAGAATTTTACTGTAGCTTGAAGAGTAGCGATAGTCCCTTTACTTTGTTCTGCCCATTTTATTCTATGTACTTTCAAGCCTAGTGTATTAGCAATGCTTTAATAAAAACAAGTTTACACTTCAGCCTGTAACTGAAGGTCATTTGGATGGAGCTTTTTCTTCAGCTGTGTGTAATGTTAAACCTCTTTGCCTGTTTGAATACAATGAAATCTTGATTCAGCAACCTGGTTTGTTGTTAGTAAACTGTCATTTAAACATTTAAATGAAAGTGTTTAAGGTTGTAGCCTGGACATGTACTCACTATAACAGAGCATACATGTAAAATTTATCAAATGAAAACGGCGTTAGTGTTGGAGCACATGGTGTGGTTTAGGTGGACAGTGAGACTACACAAAGCAGCATTATTTCAAAATTACCATCATTGCATTTCCCATATATAAAAAGAAAAACACAATTCATTTTTCCCCACATTTGGCACTTTCTGAAGTACTGCAGAAAAAAAAAATCTTTGTACACAGTAACTACACAAATTTGTAGAGTAAAATGTCTTCAATTGGACCATAATAATTTAAAAATATTTAAAAAATGAAATTCCTGGATACAAAGGATAAATAAAAATTGAAGGATTTTATTATAATGAATAGTCAAAATATGTCAGTTGCCATGGCCATTATTGCTAATTATTACAAAGATAAAGACGTTTTAGTATGATATAAACTATATATTTTCAAGGCACATTCTTAGTATAGACATTAATTGATTTTTATTATTTAATAGACAATTTTCTTACACTTGGCCTGACTGGGCTTGTACAGTTGTTCTGATGAAATAAGACTAACAGATCGAATAATATGTTACATATAACACAGACTGAATCAAATCAAATGTTAGACAACACTCATATGACGTTTTCTTAATGTTAATAAATCATCATAAATACTTAATCCAGATAGACACATACATAAATCATAATAAAATACTAATAATGGCTAGATATAGTCATATGCACATTATGGCTGGAATGTGAACATAATAACATTAGGTACCATGTTAGTTTTTGAATGCAGTACCTGAACTAATGCACTATGAAGTACCAGAAGTCACAGTTTCAATTCTAAGAACATTAGTGTTGTTATAAAAGAATTTATAACACTACAGCATAAAATATAAGCCGTCCACCATCCAAATTATTGTGATTGTAAGCTCTTGCTGTTAAATGTATGAC